GCCTTTGGACCTAGGTGGTGATGGGTTGGGATTGTCCCATATCGAATAGCCTTCGGATGTGTGTGTAGATTTTATGAATATTTTGACACTTCTGCTTTTAAGTAGAAGCTGATCAAAAAAATAAAAATAAAAATAACACTTAATGACAACTTTGACTTAGAATCCTTTTCTTTCTTCTTTGTTCCCCCCCCCCCCCCCCATAGTACACTATTAAAGGAGAAGTCAGCTTTTTTCCTTGAAAACAAAAGATGGACCCGATTGTCATAAATGCCTAAGCCAAAGGATAGTCATCCTATAGTGGGGAACCATTTCATGTTGCTCTTTTTGACTTTTTGCAGTCCATGACTAGTCTCTGGCATAGTTATTTTTTTATAAACATTGACACAAGAACTTATCTAATCTTAATTTCCGATCTAGATCGTCTTCAATATAATTTTTATTAATTTTTTTAATAAAAACTATTTAATATGTTTTGATCAGAATACATTTTACGTAATGAATCTCACTTAAATTAGTAAATATTGGTTATTATCAAAGAAAATTAAGTACAAATATATTGGATTGAATCAACATATCTCCGTTGCATGATTTGAATGAATGTCATAAGTTGTTGCAAATGAAAGTCAGAATTAATTATAATTTTGTTGGGTGTTGATGGTGTGAAAAATATAAAATAGTGAGCTGGTAGAAAAATACGCAAGGAGATGAGTGGTTTCCCTAGATAAAGAGTTTGGATATACCATTATAATGGAAACTCTTACTCATATGATTTTTATATTGCTTGAGGGAGAAGAAGGTTACACTTGAGGTAATCAATTGCTCATCATATGGCAAGGTAGTGACTCACCTATTTGTACACAAGGGTGGTGTGGTTCTCACAACCATGATGGTGCTATCCTCTCGATCTGTTAGAATATTTGAGGAAATATTTAGTTGTTAGAGACTCTCTCCTGTAGGTGTGACTTGGCCTCCTAGAAACGATTACATGGCATTCTAGCATTGATAACTTCTTACTCAATGTAGGGTTTGGTACTCTAATTCCTCTTCTGACCTCTTATTGTGATTGTCGAGCTGGTTTGTGTCTTAGCTGAACTGGATCCTTATTGGTTAGGTCGGCCAAGCTTCAATCGGGTTAACCATGCTTTGTATAGTCTTGTTGACTTGATTGAGGTATGAGTTACATGTTTTCTTTTGGCATCATTAGTTGCCCCCTAGCCCCAAGCATGGATCGTCTTGAGCTAACCAATTGGTTGGGGCTAAGCAACGAAGATCACAGTTGTGTTGTTGTGTTCCTAGAAAGGCATGTAACTAAAAAGACATGATTCAAACATTTCTCTGCAAACGTGGTACGCACTTGGCAACTTGATTCCATGGATGCGCCTATCGTATGATGCCACGTAGCCACGTGAACAGACACATTAATTGCGCTACATGTGCATTAAATGCACATGAGGACAAAAACTTGCCAAATCTCAAAACCTATTTAAAGTCTCCTTCCTTCATTGTGGCACCTCACTTTGCCTTCACTAGTTTCCTCAAAGTTCCACAGAGAGAGAGAGACATTGATTCAGAGAAACTAGAGGGTTGTGCTTAGCTCTCCATCAATCTTCTCATTAGTGTTGTGTACCCTCATTGGTTCTAAGGGTCAATTAGATCTCCCCTTAGGAATGTCCCTTTCCCTTCTCCTTCAGCCTAATTTGATCTTTGGTGGTTGTCTCAGGGACTACACTTTTTGGTCTTTAGGTTTTGTTACTTCAAAAGTTTCAATAGTTCCTTAGGGTTTGTTCCCTTTTTCATTTACTCCTCATCTGTAGTGAGGATTTCCCTCATTTGAGATTGGTACCTTGATCCTAGAGCAATTAAAGATTGTTCTTTGAATCTCTCAAAGTTGTATGCTCAAAGGCTTATATCCCTTTTTCTATGTATATTTAACTATGACCCTTTATTCTACCTAGTAGGGTACATACAGAATTCTTAGGCTTAACGGTTAGGTTTGATTTGGGCATATATATGAGATGAAGCGCACTCAAAGACAAGGTTGGATATACTCTTGTTAAGTCATAGTGGGCAAACACCAGAATATAGTATGGAGAGATTAAGACGACTCTCTTACAGAAACTTGGTAAGCCTAAAACTAGGTTGAGCTATAAAACCCTTCATTCAGTTGGGGCGCAAGTCTTGAACCTTATACAAGGTGCAGGATGTGCTTATTCCCTTTATAGCGGCTTCTGGTTTTCACATAAATATTGTAATAAGTTATATCTCTTTAACTCTATTTTTGCTAACGAATACTAGAATTGGGATATGGAGAAAGAGGGAAGATCATAGAGGGTTCAACAAAGAAAAATAAAAAAAAATGAATGCACTAATGCTAAATGGCACGCAACTCATTACTTGTTGCTTTTAAGCCCTTGCCTCCCTCATAGTCTAACTACTTTGCCTCTCCTCGATCTCTAGAATGTTTGGGGGAGACTCTCCTTAACCTAAGGTTAGCTCGTCTCATCTGGTGGTAATTTTAGCATAGAGGGTGTCTTAAGGGATGAACAACCCTTAGTAGTTGTTTATTTCGAGGAGATAGCTCCTTACTAGTCCAAGGAGATTGTCAATCCTGAGAAGGATCATGGAAGGGCTACCAAGAAAAGATTAAAGAAACCATCAGTTGGTGCCTCTTCTTTATCTGGGGCTGGTCCTTCTATAAAGAAAAAGGTTCCTCGTGGCTTGGATGACCTGACCTTTCAGTGCCACCTTGATGCGCAGTAGCCAATAGGGTTGTCGAAGCCCAAGTTGAGGCCAACAAGGAACAATATGGGTTCCCTGATGGTGTGGTTGCCCATGCTCCTGCTTGGGATGAATGTTGCAACATCTATTACTATAGGAAGTTTTATTTTTTTAGGCTGCCTTCGAGGTTGGTTTGAGATTTTCAATGCAACCATTCATCTGAGCTATCCTTTGTCACTCCAATTTATGTCCTTCTAGAGTGTATCCTATTGGTTGGGATTTGCTAGTGGGTCTACTTGTTCTATGGTATGAAAGTGGTATAGGGTCTTCCCCTATAGTCCCAGAGTTTCTCCATTTTTTCCACTTGAAGTCCTCCCTAGCTAAGGACTTTTTTATTTCGCAAAAAAGTCCCAAGGTGAAAGATCTATTAGTCGATCCTCCTTATTCGTGTCCAAGGAAGCCTAAGAATTTGAAGGGGAAGTCAGTGAATACCTTTAGATTCCTCAGTTTTGGGAAGCCCCAACCAATGCAAGTAAGTCTCTGTTTGTTGTTATTCTAGTTGTAGCTCATGTTTTCCCTTTCTTCTTGAATTTGACTAGATTGTGTTGTTTTTACAAGGTTCATGCTTGCTTTGGATAGATATGAGTTGCTGAAGCTAAGGGATATGTTATAGGTAGAGGGACAGTCCACAACCTAGAAGTCCACCAAGTAGGTAACACAGTGAGGAAGTTGTGACCTAGTTGAACGAGGATACTTCCAATGTTGTTGGGGAAGGTATTCTTCCTGTATATAATTCTTGGGCATGCATTTTATTTGATCATGGTGCTACACATTGTTGCATACACAAAACAAATTCAATTGCTTTAGGTTTGATGTTTGAAAATTTGGATCATTCTTTGAGTGTGGATTTGCCTACAGAGGAACTTAAGGAAATGATAGATGTATTTAAAAGTTTTGTGCTCTAGATTGGGGAGCAAAAATTGATTGTAGATTTAGTGGCATTAGAACTAAAGGGGTATGATGTGATCTTTGGTATGGACTTATTACCTGCCTACCCTGTTGTTATGAATTGTTATAAAAAATGGTTGGTATTCCATTTTTCGGGAGGGATAGTATTCGGTTTTACCATTGAGAAAAATTCCTCTCACGCGTTCCCTACTTTGGGTAGTCGTGTTTTAAAAGCTAAGACGGGTAGTAATTTGAGTTTCTTAGCTAGTCTGCTAGGAGATGAACGTGATAAAATATAGATTGACTTTATTCTTTTGCTGTTCGACTTTCCTGATGTATTCCTTTAGGAACTACATGGACTACCCCCATGAAGAAAAGTAGAGTTCACTATTGACTTGCACCAAAGTACTGAGCCAATAGCCATTGCCCCTTACTGTTTGGCACCATTAGATTCAACTGCCTTCCATTTGGTTTATCCATGCGAGTACTTTGCTTTGGGATGCACCAGTCCTCTTTATGACGAAGTAAAATGAGACTCTCAAATCGTGTATTAATTTTATGAAACTTAATTGGGTGACGGTAAAAAGAAAATACCCTTTACCTCGTATTGATGACCTGTTTGATCAGCTGATGGGTTCAAAATACTATTATAAGCTTGTCCTTCATAATAGGTATCACCAATTGAGAATCAATGAAGAGGATATCCCAAGGCGACCTTTCCACACAGAGAAAACGTCTATAAAAGGGTAGCAGTGAGAATTGTGTGGAGCAAAAGAGAAAGGGAGAGAGAAAGTGTGCGCGTGTGTGAGAGAGAGAGAAGCAATTAAGGGGCTTGTTGTTCAAAGAGTAAGCTAGCATAAGAAAGTTGCAAAAGAGTGATTGTGGGGGTGTATGCAAGAAATACTCCGGTGTAAAATGGAGAAGGAAAATTATAGAGTAACATTCGGCTAGAGGATCGAATGGAAAAACCATTTTTTTTTATGAAATTTTAGAGTGTAATCCCTAGCAAGTAACTCTTCACGACCATTAATGTCAATCTTGGAGAAGTCTCTCTTCATGAGGCGTTGTTACTTGATCCAAAAAAAATTATTTTGCCTTAAATAGTTCGGTCGAAGATGGTTTATTGAATTGACTAACAAAAGTAGTCATTTGAATCTCACTTCACTAGGGCATTTCTTAAAAAAGAAAAAAGAAACCCTAGTTAACTCACGTAAAGAGAGTGTGATTATAATGGGGCCAATCAATTCGCAGAAATGCATTTACATTATTATAGAACTTTGAGATAAATAACTGTGTATTTAAATACAAATTCAAAGCCGTTTCAAATATGTACATTATCTTTCTCCTCTTTGTTCTGGTGTCAACCCTCCCTTTCCACATTTGGGACAGCTTTTTAATCCAAATCCTTGACAATCAAAACATCTACAATTATTCAAATCGAATTAATTCAGAGTGACAAACAAAAAATACAAAAATTTCTTCACATTTAGAAAATACATTTAAATTGTTTTCCTTGTAAGAAGTGGAAAACTTACTTCCAACGCTCGAAGATATTCCCATTCTTTTTATTCTTCCCTGTTCCCTGATGCAGCAAAAAACTCATCTTAGTAATTGTATAATCGACATTAATGTAAACATTCTAATGCTTGATAGCTAGTAGTTTAGGCACCATTCAATAACTATATCCTGAATTGATTTTATGTTTTCCAAGCAAAAAAAAAGTAAAAAAAACCAAAAGTGAATGCTTATGTTCCGTCAAAAAATATGTTTGAATTAAAACAAATCAAAAATTATATTATTCTTGATAACTTAATGTTGAGACTTATTGACAATCTAACGGTCATAATCATTAAATCCCTAAGTTATGTTCTAATAATATTACTCGAGAGATAAATGACAATACCTTACATCCAGGACACTCTATAGCACCTTTGCCGCCACACGTTTGACAACTTTTTGTGGCCTGCACGTTATCATTCAACACGGCAAAATTAAATTATGAAACATACGAAAGCTAAGAGAATTATCAATCTTGTGCAACAGATATCTCATATTTAATCTTGCTCATAATCGGATCACAACAGTCAAATTCGAAAACTTAAAACAGATCGAAGTCAGAGAACATACAGTTTTAGGTGAGAATCCCCCAGATTTTGCTGCACAAATTCTGAATTTCCGCCGTCTCTGCTGTTCTCCAGTACTGTTCCGCGCGCTCAGATTGAACTGGGGACGAGTCAATAATGCTGGCGAAGTTATCCAGTTGGAACATATTGAAGTTTCGGCCATTACCCTTGGTCGAATTTTCTCCTACTTGGTTACTATTATAATTCTGCAGAGTTGTCTTTCATTCTTCAAAAAAAACGAAGCTGGCACAACTGGATAATGAGCTTATCACACCCACATATTCCTTTTGATGGTCCCCCGACTAACATACCCCTCTCTCTCTCTCTCTCCCCCCAAACAAACAAAGCTAAGTTAACCATTATCTTGTGTATATTCAACAATTAAATGTCTATTTGAATCGGCTCAAGCTCTATTAATTATCACCTAAAATCTTTTTTTCATTACTTTTTTTTCATTCGATGCCTTTTATGTTCTAAAGTCACCAGTTCTTTTTGCAAATTAAATAAAGTTATGTATATGGTTCGAGAGCGATAAATATAATGAACGATACGCAAGAAATGTTAAATAAAAGATAAACATGACAAGATATTTATGTTATATCATGACGTGACAGGACTTTATTAGCACTAGGCAATACATCACAATGATGCAATTGAATCACTTGCCAACAAATTAAAGACAACTCTGAGTTAACCAGTCAAGTAAGGCTCATGATTTACATAAAACATGTATCATTCTCAAAGCGAAAAGTGTGGTGTTGTGTCCGACTCGAGCCAATTCATAGAACACTGGTTAAACACCCCCCTTTCAATTCGAAGCCATCGAAATTTCCCAATGCAGACATTTCTATTTTCCTAGCTCAACATAAAATCAATGTGGGTTCGAAACCAACCATTGATCAAATGTATTAGTCTTACACAGGGATAGGGCTGTTAGTCGAACGAGTTCGACCCAAGCTTGAAAAGCTTGTTTCTTAATTACGCTTTAAAAATTATTCAAGTGCGGTTCGTTTCCTAAACAAGCTGAGCCTTAATGAGTCGAGTCTGAGCCGAGCCTGTGTATTTGCACATAAACGAGTCAAGCTTGTCAAGTTTGAGCCAAGTTTATATGACTTGTTTTCTAAACAAGCCTAAAAACTTGTTCAAGATCGGGCTCGTTTAAAAAACGAACCGAACCTGAATAAATCGAACTCAAGTCAAGCTCGAGTAGCTCAGTTTGATTAACAACCATAAACAGGATCCTTCAACAGAAGTCCAGCCCCTGCATTGGGTCACTGGTTTAAAAGCTAATCATGCAAACTTCCGTAGGGCAGGCTTGGAAGGACTTCAAATAGCCCATCACATGTGCATTAGTTATGAAATTCAAGGTGCCCAAGCTGTTATTCACTTCCACGGCATCCAACCAACAATGTAAAATTTGTGAAAATTTTAATTATATAAATTTGAAGACATCCTTGTTATTTTTTAAAATATCAATGGCATCTAATATCATATTACCAATAATAACCTTATACCTAAATACACTCTGCAATACAAAAACAGAACATTAATCGTTCAATATTTATATTTTAAATAACAATTTACTTTTACTTTTACTTTCCTTTTCTTAGATTACACAATTAACATTAAAGAGAATAGAGTGAGGTAGGTGCAGATTAATGGAATTGTCTGACATTGGAGAATTTGTTGATTGTTGTCTGACATTGGGAGTTGTGCACATAAGATATTTTGTGTGGAAAAAAAAGTTAGGATGAATTTTAAATGAAAATTGAATAAATTTTGACTATTATACTTTTATAAGTAGAAAATTCAACTTCCTAACTGTAAATTACATGTACGCCCATAACTATATTAATGGAGAGGTTGATTTAATTTAGTTACACTTGAAGGTAATTATAAGGTTGAATTGTAATAACACCCGTACAAGTTATTTAATTCGAGAGACACCCCTTCTACTGTTTGAAATATCACCTAGTCGACATATTTTGTTTTGTATATGGTTAGATCTGTTGCCACATTTGCCATTGTATACCATGTTTAAATAACTAAACCTTGATTTTTTTTAATGAAGTTGTACTAGTATAGATCTATTTGTGCTTTGATTTTGTAAAATAGATGGGATGAATAGGTTTCCTACTACCTTCTCAGCTGCAAAAAAACGATTCGAGAGATTCAATGTGGACGCCCAGGAAGCATGCATGGCTGCCTAAATTTGGTATATTACCATTGGATGCATTTTTTTTTTTTGATGATAAGATTTGTTAATCCCAAAATTGTTCACCATGGCAGATAGCCAGAGTTGTGACTTGGTGATCGGCGAGAGGGTTTCTACAAAAGAAGTCGAGGACCGGAGGGACTCTGGTGGTTGACTTTCCGATGATAAATTCAAAAAGGAATGAATGAAGAAAACTATGTTTAGCTCAGAGAAGTAAACTTACTTGGATCATATTTAGCTTGGACTTTTTATAGGTCAAGAGATTGGACCGTTGAAAATCCTTACTTGCTTATTTGAATGATGCGGGCACCAAAAGTGTAACAAATGTGGTACATGTTAGCGTGGATATCTCGACTGGTTTGAATTAGTCAAGGTGTGCGGAGCTAGGGTGAATTTGAGTTGGGATGCTGGCGACCAAGGAGCTAAGGTTCTTTTCTAGCCATGGAGCTCATCCTCGGAGCTAAGCTCGTGTGATGAGCTCGTGTCTAATTTATCATTATTAATTGCCCCTTAATTCATATAAGTGAGTTGCACGTGCTATGAATTTAATGAATCTGCCTGTTAGCGTCTGGGAAAGTAGGAACGGCAGTCGTGCATATGCAATCGCCAAAGAGCCATTGTGGGGCCAATGTATAAAACCTTCTCCCTCTATGCCTTCCGGCACATCTTTGACAGCTCTAAGAAGTATGGTACGCCCTTCCTTTTTCATCTTTATCTTTTTTCGTCTCTTTGTTTTATTGTAACTCCTCATCTTGGAGCATATAGGTTAGAGTCATACATTTTAGTTTCATTTTTATCACTTTTGTTTTCGTCGGTGGAAGGACTCCAACCTTGGTTATTATGAATATTTTGTGGATAGGTCTATTTGAGCTTGGCTTGAATCTGTGCTCGATCTGCCTTTATTTGATTATCAATATCCCTAATCACCCCCTTCCACCGAATTTGTACATCAATCACCGTCGTTTCCTTATTATGGTAATTGATTCTAGGCACACACCCTCTGAGAATACTCCGAAATTAGTGTCACTAGTTGATGCAACCAACAAGGACTCCAATTCTATTTTGGAGATTGGCTCATCGAATCTTAAGGTCATTGGGGGCAAAAAACTACCATAATTGCCTAGATGAGGACGTTATTCAAGAAATTAGGGTTTTATATCAAATCTCTAAATATGTGCGCCTTAGGGTTCCTTCCGCTAACGAAATCGCCAATTCTTTTGGCCTCAATGAAGTTTATTTCTACGAGTCCGTCTTCGAGGCTAGGCTCCGTTTTCCTATGTGGCGCCCTGCCTTTAAAAGCCAATTATTAGGTCTTTGAAAAATTTGGGACCTAAAATCCATGTTTTTTTTAATGCTGTTGGATTGGCCTTGCTTTTACCCCCTAACATCTTTTAAATACACAAAATACCATACATGTGAATAAATATAGCATAAATTTCTAAATGGTCATAAATGTGCAACACTTCTAATTGAATAATTCACTCCTATTGTACATGACTTTTCACATGATCATTTACCGGGGACTTTTCATATGATCAATTTTGCCACTTTACTTAACAGAGTACATAAATACAACATTCTTGTTCAACTTGCTCAAGATGTAACTGATTTAAATTGTAGGCTTTCCTCTTTCTAAAAACAAATCTATAATGAATAGACCCACAACTAATAGAAAATTTAATAATTTCATGTTTCATGTCTTTTATATTCTTACTTCTATCAAGTATATATACCTGTCTAACACACTCGACTGCTCTACAACAAGATTGCATTCTCTTTATATGTGTGTATGCATAAATGCATTTCCATGTATGTGCGTGTGTGTATATTACTTGATTTAGGTTTGAAAACTCTGTTGTTCAGGTGATAACATTTTAGAGGGAGATCTGACCACAGTATAGTTTTCTCCTCCAACCCTCCTAAGTTCTTGTCCTACCTGATGCTCCTGCTGTAGAGGTTGGAGGGCTGAAGGTTTCTCCCTTACAGCTCTCACAATGGCTTGACCGTTTGGGCTGAAAAAAAATTGTAAATTGAAGTTATCGAATAATGCCTCTGAATGTTCTTGTGAATGTCATTGGAACCTTTGGCATGATATGTTTAGAATACACATTTATTAACTATGACCCCTTAAATAAATCAAGGAGGAGATTAAGAGTATTTTTGTATTTTATCTAATCTACTTCATTTTATTTTTTACGAAAATGTATTTCTAAGCACAATGATAATTGTATTATTGAATTAATGTTTTAGTGTTTTTCCTGACTATCAAAAATTTAAAGCTAGAAATTTTCGCTAATGAATACTAAGATGTGGGAGCCAATTACCTTACATTCTGATGGGTTAAGCCCAAATAGTCCAATTTATGTGTTAAAGTCCAACCCGAGGAGCCCAACCTCATTTTGATTCCACCAAGCCCAAGACAGTCCAAGGCCGGTTAAACTTCTTGCTTAGCACGTCACCAAGAGGAGAGCACGGGAAGCTTATCTACACCGCCTTAAGGAACAGTCCAAATCCACCAAGTCCAAGACAGCCCAAGGCCGGTTAGACTTCTTGCTTAGCACGTCACCAAGAGGAGAGCACGGGAAGCTTATCCACACCACCGAAGGAAGGAAACGGTCCAATCTTTGACCACGTTTCATGAAGAGCTCCCCAACCTCTTCCTTCCGTTGAGGATAAGTCGTGATCTCCACCAAAAATAATCTCTAAGCTGCGATAAAGAAACCTTGAGGATATGTCATGATCTCCACAAGAATGATCTCTTATCTACTATAAAATGACTCTAATCTGGGAGAGGAAGGAGGCATGCTCATCAGAGACTTACAGAAGACGAACCGACTATCGAAGATTATTATTTTCTTTGATTCTCCATTCCCCCTCTCAAAGCTTGTATCTTCATTCTCCATACCTTTGAATCAATAAAATACCCGGCGACTGAAGCCATTGAAGAG